ATAATATCGACAAAAGAATATCAAAATGCATTTTAAACAGCTGAGGAAATTTATATTATAGATCTTTTTATTCACGAGTAGGTCGACCTTTGGATGTGGTTCGATATGTACATGCAGTGTGACAGTATGCGTGCCTGCCGGAGCGGTCAGTTGCGAGCGTACGCCGGCTTCGCCAGGCACGCACACTGTCACACTGTGCATGTACATGTCGAACCACAATAACCACATACAAAAGTCGACTGCACTCGTGAATTGCAAGAACTATAATATTGTTACGAGCTTGAGGTTCGTGATAATAAAAAACTGCCGATTGAATTACCAGAATTAACACTTTAATTACTGAACACCAATTACAACTTGAAACCACACTTCTATATTAATCACATTTAACAATTTAGTTCACTTTATTTCGCTTCGTCTTCGCTTGTGTCGCCAATTCAATACTCACTGGGTTGTGGTCCTTAACGCTTTTATTTTTCTACTGAATGTTCGAGCAAATACCGGTCCCGACCGACTAGAAAGTTCTCTGCTAGTTTAGCCACTCGATACTAGATGACGCTAGTGGTATTTAGCAGGCATTAATTGTGGCGCGCAGTAATATTTATATATCAATAAATCGATTGTTTTCGCTTTTATGTATTTGTATAAGAACTCAATAACCGCGTACACACCTAGCGAGGCATCTTAAGTCCGTAGTCATCAGTAGTTTTGTACGAAACTCCGAGGCATGCCTCGCGATGTAGGCCGAGGCCGAGCCATCATAAGTCCTCAAGCTTCCGTAATGGACAGTTGTGCAATTGCAGCTGCAGCTTTATTCTTAGTTGCTTATTGTTTAATAAAACGAAAACAGTCACATTTTAAGAAAATACCTACTCTAGAAAAATTTATGAGTGTCGCAACCAAGATGGAAATAAATTACTTAAAGATTTAACATATTATCAGATTGTACATAACTTTATACGAATGTACACCCTTCAAGAATTTGAAAATTTGTGCTCATTGTTGTGTGACAAAATTAAAAAGTGTGACACAAAATATAGAGAGGCAATCACTGTAAGTGATCGAGTTTTAATAACTTTAAGATTTTTAGCAACCGGAGATTCTTATAGAATATTTATTTTTAATACCGAAGCAGAGTATCTTAAGTATAATTCCAGAAGTTTGTGACGCTATTATTTAGGCTTTAAGTGATTATGTAAAGGTAAATTAAAAACAAATATTTGTTTAAATTTAAAGATCAATGTATATTTTAATTACAATTCAGTGATATCTTTCAAATCTATTATATATTATTTAAGTGACTTTTCAGTAAAACTAAAACAAACACTATTGTACGCCTTGCAAGCCAAAATACCACCGTATATACCAGACGAACAGCGAACACTGAGGTGAGGAACCATTGAGCACGTCCCGTTTACCGACAACGTATGGCTCGGGGTCGAGTGGCGCTCGGCCGAGGCAACGTCCGCCCGAGGCATCCCGAGGCACGTCCACACCAGCCGAGGCATTTAGCTCGCGAGGCCACCACGCGAGCCCGTGCGCTAGGTGTTTATTGTTTGTTCTATTAGAATTTTTGTTACTCATTGTTTCTGCCACATTGTTAGTGAAAATACATTTCATTTTTGTCTCGTACTGTCTGAAACTAATATAGATAACATCCCCAAACAACTGCTATTTAAAATTAAGCTACAAAAAACATAGCACATTAATTTAAGGGTTCCCGAAACGGTTAATTGCGTTTATCAATGTTTACGTGATCGGAAGTTTAAAATGGCGGGAGAATTATCATTTGCGCACGCTTTAGTCGATTGTTGGATTGTGCTAGGAAGTCGCGTGCGTTTCTCAAAAATATTATGATTTCAAACGCAGATAAAGCTAGTGTAACCAAAAACGATAGACTATTTTTATTATCAAATGCACGATGCGACAATTGCCTCCAATCTTTTTTTATTATTATTTGCCGTGATTGCCGTAGTTACATTGAAACTCGCTTTAATTGCAACTGTAAATATAATTACGGCAATTACGGGTCCGGACCGCGAACTCAAAAGGTCGTGGGTTCGAATCCACCATTCGACAACTGGCGTGAACCACTCGTAACACAAGCAATTTAAGCTTACCACGAGTGGTTAAAGGGAATATTAGTAATGGTTATAGCATTGCTAGTATTTAAAAAAATTACGACAATGACAGCTGTTATAAAATAATCAAAAATTTTATTAAATTAAACGATCGTTGTTCGCGCCAATAAACTTCATTCGCGTAGATATTGAAAATCGCAATTGGCCGTTTCGAAGACCCTTAATAATATTATTCACATAAATTCCGAAGATGATCAATGAAATTTTATACCTGGGCCTATATATATTAGGCCCATTACTTTTTTTCTTAATTAAATAAAGAACTTTCTTTTTGTAAACAATGTAATACTGACTACTGCATAGTGTCAACAGAACTCTGACCAACTATGACTACATCTTTCGATCGTCAATGATACATATTATATGAAGTTGTAGTAATTTTTTCCAAAATTAGGTGACAAACGAGCACACAGTCCACCTGATAGTAAGTGGATGCTGGGACCTATAGAAATACATATTTATCCTGCGTTTTGATTCTGCAAATGCGTTGTTACCCCTGAGGACTAACATGGAATGCCTTGATTCCATTAAAAAGGATCCCCAGTTCTCTACACTTACCATACGAAACACAACAGCATTACGCCGCTATTTTACGCCAGTATTCTGTGAGAGCGTGGTCCTGCCCCGATTGAGCCGACCAGTTCATGGTACAAATATAATATAGCTGCAGCCTGGCTCTACCACGTACAAAAATAAACTAAAAATTAAATGGTGGCAATAATTCACTTTGCTATGTTATAATCGATTATAAAATAGTAAATAACAAATATATTGTTTTAATTGTCGTTATTAAAATAAAATTAAAAACTATAAACGAAGATATAAAGGTAACAAACTACTGTTAAAACTTCATGACAAGGTAAGTAAGTAAACGATGATATACATGCTTATTTTATACATTTCTGCTTAAAAAAACATAAATTATGCTGATGTTTGCATGTGCGTCTGTTACGCGTACCGATGCCTATGTAATTGACTAAATTACGTGAAATCCGGGAGAAGGGATTCACGTCGGCTTCGCATTAAATAATCTTTGAAAGCTTCTTGCGTCGTGGAAGAGAAAAGACAGTTATTTTATACCTATAAAACTCTCGTAAATTAGAAAGTTATTGAGGATATTATATAAAACGAAAAAATATTGAGTTCAAATAATGGAGAATCGTTAAACCTTAACAAGGAATTAGTAGTGGAAACTTGAATAAGAGAGCTATTTCTTTTACTTAAAATGTGATAAGTGAAGAACAGGAATGAAAGAAGAAGTAAAAATACTTTATTACCACAACACATTATTCACATAACAATACATTTACCAACATGTATTGGTTTACAACAACAAAAAGAAGGAATCTGTTTCATGTACATATTTCCATAGCAATGTTGTTACAACGGCGGCGCTGTTATTCTAACGATGCTTTATTTCAAGTATTTAAGCAATTTTGTCTGATAATCGATCAAAATAACTTTAGCGGAATTATTTGCAATAGGTACGTATAAATAGGACTATTGTTTCATTCCTGTGTTGAAACTAGGCATTTCTATAGCGTCAGATTTGTACTAACGAGCGTCAGATTTGTACATAGGAAACTTAGGTCCTAATAATTAACGAATGGGCAAACAGTCCGCCTGATGGTAAGAGAATGCTAAAGTCCATAGACATCTACAATTATCTTCGATTCAGATTCAAAATATATATGCGTTGTCTCCCTTGAAGACTAATATGAAATGCCACGTTTACATTAAAATGGATCTCCAGTTCTGTACACTCACTATATAAAACACAGCCGCATTAAGCTGCTATTTCAGGCTGATATTCTGTGAACGATTTCACGATCCTACTTCAATAGAGCCGACCCATTCATGCTACTACCAACAACTGAAGCTTGGCTTTGGCTTGGCCACGGAGTTATAATGTATGTTTATTCGCAAAAACTAAATGGAAGCTTTGCTTCACGTGCTAGTCATGTTGCAGTTTCATTAAAGGCGTATAGCAAATGAGTGGCTTTAATCGTCGAAACGTTCTCACATATTAATAAGCAAAAAGGAAAACTTAAATAACGCCAATATACGCTCCATTTCTGGATACAGGCCTCCTTTCATTTCCGAGTGTGTTTTAGGACTAGGAAATATCCGCCGTGCTGCTATTGGTGCAGCGTGGTGGTGGAATTCACTTTTTTTAATTTCTCTGACATGGAGTTACCTCACGTTGTTTTCAGGGCACTTAAAATTGCAATGAACAATTTCATCGGTACCAGCGGTTCTCAAACCTGGGTTGCATGCGTATTGTGAAATTTATTACAAGTGCTTAGTTTTTACGGCTTCTCATTTTCATGCTTTCGAGGTGTACAATAACAGCAAAGTATTACATACAAGTGTGAGGTGTACAATAACAACAAAGTATTACATACAAGTGTGGAGTTTACATGAGAAAGACGTGTTACATGGCACTCTTAGATTTATATTCCAAAGTGGTGAAAAAAGTTACCTTTTTATTAGAAATATATACTAAAACGTTCAGCAGACTGAGTGCTTTTGTGTATTGTATTTTAAACAATAAAATTTGGAATTAAAAGAGGTGAAAACATTGATTCAGTGAATCTTGTGTAGGGTACTATGACATTTAATTTATAACTTTGATAGTGGAATACAAAAGACTAAACTTCCGACTGTGTACCAAACTATATGCTATTTTCGCCCGTTACTACTAATGTACTGTCAGCGTAGTGGATAGAGCTCGTTACGCTTCGATTCGGGAAGACCCAAGATCGAATCACAAGGAAGATTTTTTTCTCTTTTTCTTTTTTTTTCTTTTATATTATCTTTAAAAAAAGGTTCCAATAAAAATTGGAAATATCTTATAACATGGCAGCAAAAGGACACAAAAACCTTGTCTGGGGGTGTTGCTCGATTGGTCTGCAGGACCAGAACTATATGATATGTACAGAATGCACCAAACTTTATCATCTTGAATGTCTGTCAATACCAAACAATGAAGACGATCCTACCACGTCTACGTGGCTGTGCTCTCAATGTCATGGAACGCAAAAATTGGGTAATAATGATAACACCCCGGTTCGCTACAACCCAAATATAACTGTGAGGCCGGGAAAGAGGCAAGCTTTGAACTCCCCACCAAAGGCTTCAGATGAAAGGCCAATAACAAGGGACGAGATGCAAGAAATTATCAAGGACGTAGTGACTCAATTCCAAAAGACAATGCGCATCACCATATCGGACATCCTAGGCACTGAACTAAAATCTTTGAAGGAGGAAATAGTGGATATGAAGGAGTCTATGAATTTCATGAATACAAAATATGATGATTTCTTAAATTTACGCGAACACTACACATTGAATAAAACTTAATTTACGCGGGTTTTTATGGATCTTTTTGTTTGACCTATGTAAGAGAGACCACATTCACAATCTAACTTGTACACTCCTGCATCTTGTAGAGGGATATTACACTTGACGGATGGTAAAATTGACTAATCTTCTTCGTCTTTCTTGCAAAAGAACACCGATTCCTACCAAGGATGATACGCGAGGCTATTGAAATTAAAAAACATCCAAAATTCAATAGAGAACATGGATGGGTGCTGCCACCTGCTGGGGATCCTATAATTAACAAAATTAAATCCAAACCTAAGCATACCACTGCAAGAATTCATGATACTATAAGCTCGTTTTGCGTAAATCGGACCAAAAATTAATATTCAAAAACTGAAGGTAGCCGGACTAACTATGACTTTGGGACGTCAAACATCTCAGTCCCCCCCGTGACCATGGGTGCTGTAAAGCACCCGAAACGTCGGGAATTAAAAATAAGTAAAAGTAATGATATAAACGCGATAAAATCCGTAAATTAAGTTTTATTCAATACAAAATATGAATCTATCACAAAGGAGCATGCAGAGGCCAATGAAAAAATAAAATGCCTAGAGACGGAGAACAGTGCACTGCAGTCAAAGGTTGAGGACTTGTCTAATCGATTTAATCAAATGGAACAAAATGCTAGAATGAATAACATTGAGATCCAATGTGTGTCCGAGAGGAAAGATGAGAACCTGTTGCACATCGTAACAGAACTAGGCAAAACAATTAATTGTCAACTATCCACGAAACACTTAGCCCACTACACCCGTATTGCTAAACTAAATAAAGACTCCAGCCGCCCTAGGTCTATTGTTGTGCAATTTAACTCGCCGAGTATGAGGGACAAATTCTTGGCAGCAGCGATCAAATATAATAAACTGAAGCCTCAAGAAAGGTTAAACAGTTCTCACGCTGGTATTACCGGTGCTAAAACTCCAATTTTTATATGTGAACATCTCTCCACCCACAACAAGGCCCTCCATGCCGCAGCAAGACAGGCGGCAAAGGACAAAGGTTATAAATATGTCTGGGTGAGAGGCGGTCGCATTTTCATGAGGAAGACTGAAGACTCTTAATTTAAAATCATCAGAAACATAGAGACACTTGACAAGTTGCCTTAGTTCCAAACCTAACTTATTATGTTTTTACATTTTGAATGTACCCTATTTTACCTATTTTAAAAGAGATAAGAATATATTACCAAAACGTTCGTGGGTTGCGTACGAAAACTCACAACTTTTTAAGGGAAGTCAATTGTAATAATTATGATGTAATAGTTTTAACCGAAACCTTGCTTAATAGTAGCGTTATGAGCAATGAGTTATTTGATGACAGATACGAGATATACAGAAGAGACCGGGAAAGTACGGGGTTTCATGAGAATAAGGATGGGGGAGGAGTCTTAGTTGCGGTACTAAAAACTATCAAATCGGCTCGGAAGTTTGAATGAGAAAGTAAATGTGAAGACATTTGGGTGGTTTTGGATTTGAAAATTGAAAACTCTGTCCATCAAATAGCTCTTTGCAGTGTTTACTTACCACCTCCAGTGAACAGGCTAATGTTGGAGTATTTTGTAGAAAATTGTACCTCAGTCATAACAAGTAAATTTGATTCACACCTGTGCTTTATTGGTGATTTTAACTTAGGTAATATAAATTGGAGTTTGGTACATGATTGTCGAACTATGTTGCTCCTAGTCCAAGCCAAGCATTGATAGATTAAGTTCATCTTAACAAGCTTAATAAAATGAATAACATTCTTAAGAAATCGGACCGCTTGTTAGACCTTGTACTGACCAACCTATCATCATCCATGTGTCAGGATCAGTTAATATCCTTAGTGTCGTAGAGCCTCTACATCCCCCTCTCGAAATATTAATAAAAATAAATACTGACACTGCACTACCGTATAATATCGATACTAAAATACACAATTTTAGGAAAGCCGATTATACTCGAATCCGCTTTTGTTTAGCCGAATATGACTGGAATGAAATGTTTCATAACCTGAATGTTAATGAAATGACAAACTTATTTTATGATATAATTAATAATTTAATAAATAAATATGTGCTCTACAAAAAATAAGAAATAATTCTTCACCTCCTTGGTTTAATGTTTCATTAAAGAGAATGTTACGTGAAAAGAACATAAGAAAGCGGTAGGCATGTGCGGATGAGCTAGTGACGCCTATATATCTAATTTTTAGAAGTCTATTCAATCCGGCCTATTTCCTGATGTTTGGAAGTCCGCCAAAGTTGTTCCCATTCACAAGGCCGATAACGTCGAGGTGGTAGGTAACTATAGGCTTATTTCCATACTGTCAACTTTAAGTAAAATATTTGAATCTCTTGTTTATCCTGTGCTGCAGAACCACTTTAATCATTATCTTACTGAGTGGTAGCACGGTTTTATTAGATTTAGGTCAGCCTGTTCCAATCTGACCTTGTTTACTGAAACTTTGGTAGAAGCAGTAGATAACGGTAGGGATGTTGACGTAATATATACAGACCTTAGTAAGGCATTCGACAAAGTACCTCATAATATGCTTATATCTAAATTACGTGCATATGGTATTACTGGCTCATTATTGGGATGGTTGCAGTCGTATATGGATAATCGTAGTTTTAGTGTGGTCGTTAATGGTTTTGAGTCTGCACCATACAAAATTACGTAGGGGGTTCCTCAGGGATCACATTTAAGTTCTCTGCTTTTCAACACCTTCATCAATGGCATCCCTAGTTGCTTCCAGTTCTCCATACCATTTATGTATGCCGATAATTTGAAATTGTTTGGCATCTGCGAAACTCTAGAGGACATCGAACAGTTTCAAAATGATGTTGACCGTATGGTAAATTGGTGTCGAGACAATGGTATGTACCTGAACATAAACAAGTGCTACCATATGAAATTCAGTAGAAAGATCAAGTCACTGAACACATCATACAAAATTAACGGCCACATCATTAAGAAAACAGAGGAAGTCAGAGACCTGGGAATAGTGTTCGATAAAAAATTAACCTTCGTCACCCACATCGAGAATATTACAAAAAGGGCGTATAGAATGCTAGGCTTTGTTTTGCGCAACGCTAAAGTGTTTAAAAATAATCACATTAAGATCTTACTGTACAACAGCCTCGTACGAAGCATACTTGAGTATGGCAGTGTAGTATGGAGGCCACATTATGCGACACACTCCTTACGATTAGAACGTCTGCAAAAAAGTTCGTGGCAAATTTGGCCTATTGGAATGGGATTCACAAAAAAATTCGGTCTTACGAAAAACGATTAAGATTCTTTAAAATTTTATCCCTGGAAAATCGGAGAAATTTGCTTGACCTGTCATTTCTTGTAAAAATTTTGAATCAAAAAATTAACTGTCCCCTCTTGCTCCAAAAATTTAAATTTCGTGTTCCATTGAGAATTGCTCGCGCCCCTATTACTCCACTTTGCCCTCCTTTTAGAAAATCTATCTTAGGTGCAAACTCCCCAATTCCAAGTTTGTACAAATTGGTCAATGGATATAGTGACAAAGTTGACATTCACGCCGACTCATTTGCCAAAATTAAGGAAGTTCTAGCTTTAGCCTGGTCTGAAACCAACAAATAAATAATAATAGTTTTTACCACGTACTTTTTTCATTATTAGGTAATTTATACTTTTTTATTCGTATTTATAATCTTTCTCGATGCATGTGGTGTTTACCTTAAACGATTGTTACACTTAGCTACGTAAGTTAGTTCTTAAGCCATTTTGTTAAATACAGTGTAATCAAACATTGGTAAACCTTAATAAATAAAAAAAGTGTACTAAAGAGCCTTTGCAACCAAAAAATAATTTGTTTTGAGTTATTACACTATTCCAATTCATTTTCTATTTAAAATTAAACTGTCGTAGCTTTGATGACGCTATGATTGATTAGCTTGCGCCCCCAGGGCATATTTAGTCAGGAAATTGTCTTTCGGTATTAGGAAATAATCTCATTAAGGCTCTACTTGCGTGCACGTCGTAATCGATGTAAGTTCATTTTCTATTTTCAATGTAGGATTCGTTTTAATTAGCGATTTAGTTAATAATCGTAATCTGTTTTTATAATGGGTCGGATTTAAGAATTTGAAATTTAAAGTTAATCTCTACGATGTGTGTGAGCATGTGTACAGTAAACAGTATGAATACGTAATCATTTTCTCAAGAAGCTCAAATCGAGATACTTCTTTGATAAATACTACCAAAATGACTATGTACGTACTTATATCTCATTTTAAGGCATCACCTCTCTCCTAAGGGACAAAATCATGGTATCAGGGATAAAATCGATAAAAAAGGATATTTATTTGCAGATATAAGAGTATTTTAAATATCATTATCATCACCATGACAAACTAAAGTCAAACATAAAAACAAACTAAAGTAGGTCTCCCCCATAGATTGCCATATAGGAGGAATATTTGCCATAGTTACGACGTTTGGCATGTGGATTAACAACCACAGTTTTTTTATGAATATCATTATTGATAGAACCATGACGGGACAACGTTCGTAGTTATATTATGACTGCAACACCAATGAGTAAGGTCGACCAGGATAGGACCACGCGCTCACAGAATACCACCAGCATTAAATACCAGCCTAATGCTGTTGTTGTTCATATGGTGAATGTAGAGAACTGGAAATTATTTTAACTGAAAAGAAAGCATTTCATTTTAATCCTTAGGGATGACAACACAACTGCATTTTTATTTTTTAATCGAGGGTAGATGTAGATTTCTATGGGCCACATCATTCACTTAACAGCAAGTGATCTAGCTAAAAAACGAGAACACTCGTTTTTTACATTCATTTATATTAAAAAATATCAAACTCGTTGACGCCGCTCTCGCAAGGTCACAGATGATTACAGATAGACTCCTAGGGAGGAAAAAGTGGTACATAATTGCATCACAATGCAGTGTCAAACACACATGAATTTTCAGAAAACAACCATACGCCATC